ACTGGAAGAATATCGACCCTCGGTCTTTTTTGTACAGACCTCGCTGCGCTCGGTCCATACTGTCAAGACCTCGGGCCGATATTCTCTCAGTACGGCCCTCACACTTGGTTAATAAGATATATATAAAAGCATTTGAATCATCAATCTAGAGTCCAGAACATTAACCACTGGGTCAACACATCTCATAAATCACCAGTCATAAGAGAAATACTTTAGAAAACATGATTATATACCTTCCTTTATCAAGCCCTATCTTGGTTGGTGTGACTAAGTGTGCTTTGTTCCCTGTTCCAAGCTGTCCATATGAGTTAGCCCCCCAGGTATACAGACATCCAGCATCTGATAAAGCCAGTGAGTGGGCATAACCACAAACAATCTAAAAATTAAATAATTTTATTAGACAATTCAAGTTTGTGATCTATTTTATCATCATTTATTGTTCAACTTATGTTCATTCATACTTGTGTTGTGATTGTTCCAACAAGTCCAATAACTTTGCATGGTGTCAGCTGATTAGCATTGTTACCAACTCCTAACTGGCCATTGCCATTGTAACCCCAAGCAAACAGCTGCAATGAAAACGATCAAACCTACAATATAAGTAAGGGCTAATCAACTTAGTTGATAAAACCAAATTATCAATAGATAGATAGATAGATAAATCGTTTATTAAAAAGAAACACCTGGCAGTCCAAAGACTGAATTACCTGTACAATATACAAGAAATAAAATTCATAGTTAAAATAGTTTGAAAATCTTCATAATAAAAATATACAAATCTAGTAAAAACGTTTCACTTATTATAGTTTTATCAAATTTGATATGTACTCTGTATATTTGCTGAAAATGGTAATGAAAATGAAAATATGTGTACCATCCCAAATGTTCTCGCAGATAAGCCGCACCTACGATTTTGATCACAAATTTTTGGAAAAAAGGTGCGGCTTATCCCCAAGTCTTTACGGTACTCTTACCTCTCCAGCATCTGACAAAGCCATAGAAGACGTCTGACCACAAGCAATTACACTTATCTTTTTTGTTCCTGCATAAAAAAAGAAACCATAGAAGCTAAAAGGTACATGATTTTACTACTTGCTTTATGACTAACAGTCACAGGTCACCAAGTTGGCACTTCACATTGTAAATTTGGCTCCTGAATTTATTTTACCAGCTATGGCAACCTAAAATTAACAGCTTGGAGCAGTGTATAGACCACTTACTGACCTATTATTGCTGAATTTATTTTCCTGGGCACAGTCTGATTGTTTGTGTTTCCAGTACCTATCTGTCCACAGTTGTTGTATCCCCAGGCAAACACCTGTCAAAAAATTTGACACAGAAGTAATCATGAGTGAAATCCGAAAAACATAAGCAACTAATGGCTACAAAGAAGAGATAATTCTTTTCCTACCTCCCCTTCCACAGTGAGTGCAAGAGAGTGATGACTGCCACAAGCCACCTGAAAAACTTTTTTCATATGAAGTCCCGAACTAACAGGTGATGGGATCAAACCTTGGTTTGTGTTTCCATTTCCAAGCTGACCATAGCCATTGTGACCCCAAGTGAATACCTCACCTGATTCTAAAAACAACATGAAGAGATCACAACAACATGAAGAGATCACGTATCGGCAAATTTTGAAACCCACCAGTAACATTTGATGTTGTAGTCTTGTAGTCTGATAGTCCTAGTGGGATTTGTAATGAGGACTTTTTTAATCACAGACATTTTGACACCCTTAGGGAAGAAGTCATCATCAGAGGTCATCATCAGGACCTGATGATCACTTCTCTTCAGGATATCAAAACATCACTCACTACCACCAACAACAGTCTTTCTCAGACCTTCTCTCTCCTGGAAGATCAGACAACAAGATAATATCACAGATCTTCTTGAGGGTCATTTAACTTTTAATGAAAGTGAGGCATAAAAATTCTAATGATCAAAGTTTCTCCAAGTTTATAGATAGGGATAGGTTTAGCTGGTTACAAGTTCATGGCTTTGGGATGTTTCATAAAGACAAACATTGACCAACCATTTTCCAACTAGTTCAATTCACCACGAGGTATTTTGGGGAGTTGCCCATTGCAAAGCACATTTTCCAGGAAAGATTCCCCTTGATTTGTATTATTGCTAACAGTCTAACTTGCTTATTTGAATATTATAGCATGGGATATTTATCGTTAAAATATTAGTCTTTTTTGGGTTTTCCTGGATGATTTTCCAATTTCATTAAAGATGTGGATAGTGTTATTGTAGAGAAAGAAATCAGTACATTTTTTTTAAAGAGTAATAGGTGGTTTGCGACCAATCTCTAGAGACACAGGTAACAATGGTGAAAGGAACAAATGCTGGTGGATGAACAAAAGGAGCCAATGAGATATCTGTTGCTTACGTCAACCAACATGGATGCGGTGACGTAATGTGCAAACCACCTATTAACCCAAGCGAGTTTGAAAATTTAACAAAAACTGATTTGAGATCCGAGGCACATAGTATCTTTGTTAGTGAATATATATAATTGACATGTATATTAAAATATGCTGAAAACAAATAACACTCTCTGGTTACATTTGGCCACCAAACGGAATAATTGTTTTATTTAAAAAAAGCTCCCCCAAGATGTTAGACAAATCTTCTCGACTTTATTTTGTAAGAAGAAACCGGATGTTACAATGTACAGATATTAGATTATGGTATATGGGCTCATATACCATAATGGCTAAGCCAATAAAAAGTCTTGAATTGCATTATCCAATTAACCAGTTTTTAATAAATAAATATATCTCATTAGCCATTTTGTTGTTTAACATCACTGATTAATATATGGCTGTGTCTCACAAGGACTGGGAACTACCGGATTCACGAATTTGATTGGCTGAAATCAATATTGAAAGCGGTCTAGATTTTCCCATCTAGACCGGCATCTAGACCGGTCTAGAAAATAAAGGTACAAAGAATATAAAAAATTAGCATATAAGACAGCCATATAATAAACATCTTATTAACCGAGCAAGGTCGGTCTGTAATGGGAGAATCTTGACCTCGGTCACTGGTACAGACCTCACTGGGTTCGGTCTGTACTGGCGACCTCGGTCAAGATCTTCCCATACAGACCTCCTGCTCGGTTAATAAGAACTCAGTATTTTTATGAGTTGTGCCGTATTTTGACGAGCCTGTAGGGTGAGTCAAAATACAAATAACAAGTAAAAATATTCAGCGATACTACACAACAAAATGTCTTATAAGTTATTTATTATCCAACACAACAAATTGTTATTTCAGTGCGGGCGAATTTCGCGGATATTTATTTACGGGGAGTGCGTGACAGAAGCGAAGCGGAACGGAATTGGCGCGTTGTTGTGTAGCTGTATCTATTTTCTTGGTTGTCTAACTGTTTTTCTTCGTTCGATTCATCTCATAAACTTGGATCTATATTTGCCACCCATTTTGACTCTTCGTCGTCGGAAATATAATTCAAATT